ATCACACTTGAATACGTGTAGATTAAACATGTGATAGTTAAGTTCCCATATTTCATCTATAACTCCATAGAAGGATACATCACCGTATAAGGGATTTCTATCCTTAGCACTTGCAATTTGCATTGTATGTACGACTAGGCTAACCCCACTACATTGTGTAACTCTATCATTATCTCAAGCTCATGTGTGGAATTGAAATTCGTTAATAACATAACCCGAGAACTTTATAACGAGAGAACGAGGTCCTTGTGCTAGCCAATGCAAATTGTTTGATATCTCATCACCATTGGCCAATGAAATTGAAACATGTTTAATAAGTAGTCAATATCACAAAGTGGAATAAATTGGTTAAAGAAAACTGAAAAAATGGGGAACCTTGATACACCTTATCTTGTAGCCAATGCACAAAGGTGCGAATGTATTGACCTTGTAACCATTTTGGGTTTCTAGACTGACGGTGATGTTGTTTCTTTAACATTTCCATATCTTCCTTATATAAATGCAATTGAATTACTCAACACAATGATTGAACTATACAAAGAAATTGAAATAAGAAAGGGATAATCGTTCAATATAAGGCTCAACTTCAGCTATATTCAGCAACACATAGAGATGTGCTTGTTGTAATATTTGACTATCCACAAGTGTCGATTGACCACTTGGTAAAGGCTTGCCAAAAACATGTTAATTTGTCAACAAAAGTGTTTGGATCACCAATTGGTTTGACACTGTCCATGTAATATGAGCAAAACTCCAATGCTTCTTCTGCTACATAACACTCCACAATGCATCCTTTAGGCTGATTATGGTTCCTCACATAAGCTTTAAGTGTTTTCATATACCTCTCAAAAGGACACATCCACCTAAAACAAACAGGTTCATATAGCCTAACTTCTCTAATGAGATACACTATCAAATCTATCATGATAGCAAAGAATGAAGGAGGGAAATATTTTTCTAACAAGCACAATGTCACAACAACATCACTTTGTATCTTGATCAACTTGCCTCTTACTACATGGTGATTAAAGAAGAAGCATAACCTAATGATAGCATACCTCACGTTCTTAGGCAAAGAGCTCTAATGGCTAACAGTAACAATTGTTGCATAAGTACATGACAGTCATTAGATTTCAAACCATGAATCTTTAAATCATCCATCGAGAAAAGGCTCTTTATGTTTAAAGAATACCCTACGAGTACTTTGAGATTTGCCAAGGGCCTTCAAGTTGTCTCAACAATTCTATCTCACTCAAAAGGTCATTGGGAGAACCAAACTCTTGAGCACCATTGAAAGCTTTCTTTTGTTTTCGAAATGAATGATTCTTAAGGAGGAATCGCCTATGAGCCATTTAACAATTCTTCTTGGAATTCTTCAATCTACAAGAGGGCGTACCTTCTCTACATATTGGGCAAACATAATAATCTTTAGCACAACAACCGGAAAGGTTTCCATATGTGGGAAAGTCATTTATGGTCCATAGTAACACTGCCTTTAAAGTGAAATACTCTTTCCTATAAGCATCATAAGTCTCAATACTGTTTCCCTTAATTGTTTTAAGTCCTCGATTAGAGGTTACAAATATACATCAATATTGTTCCCGGGTTATTGTGGACCCGAGATCAATAATGTCAACATTATAAACTTCCTTTTCATGCACAACCAAGGTGGGAGGTTATAGGTTACAAGCATCACCGGCCAACAACTATACTTACAACTTAGAGATCTATGTAGATTGAAACCATCCGTCTAAAGAGCCATTCTAAGATTTCTACTTTCCAAACCAAATTCATCCCATTTAGCATTAATAAGTTTCCAAGTGGGTGAATCCACTAGATGTTGAAGTTTACCATCATTCTTAATGTTATGTGCATGCCAAGTTAAGTCATACGCATTTTGTCGAGATTGAAACATCCTTCTAAACCTAGGGATAGGAGAAAAAAAAAAAAAACCTTGGAAGGAACTTTGGAATTACTTGATGGTTTACCGACTTGTTTCTTCCAATGTGAAGCACCACAAGATAGACATTCAAAAAGATCCTTGTATTCATTCCTAAATAGAATACAATCATTTTGACATGCATGAATCTTCTCATATTCTAATCATAATGTCGCTATGACCTTTTTTGCTTCGTACGTTGACTTAGGCATTGAATTTTCATCCATTAGGACATCATGAATGGTACACAACAAATCCAAGAAACTTGTGTCTGACCACCCATATTTCACTTTCAAATATTGGAATTTCATCAACCCAGTAAGCTTACTATATTTACACCCATTATACAGTGGCTTTTCACAATAATCTAGAAGTGTTTTCAATGTATTTGGATCTTCTTTGCAATACTTGTGAGCATCATGAACCATATCCTTTGTAAAATGTCTTTAAATGTTGATTCATTGGGATACGAATCATTGATGTTCCTAGAGTCATTGTCATCAATCTCTTCTCCATGGAAAACCCAAATCCTATAACTTTCGTCAAAAACCAACACAAACAAATGATCACGGACATCCTAAATTGTATGATGAGACATATTTGAACATTTTATGCATGGACCTGGAATCTTATATGGATCATTGCACCGTGTTTTTGCAAACTCCAAAAAGAACTCAACACCATCTTCATATTCTTTAGACAATCTATCTAACGTAATCCAAGATTTGTCCATATTGAATATGATGGTAAACCCTGGACAAAACATTATTACATGCTTAAAATTGTCTTTGACCAAAATTTTAATTTCAAAACTTTCATTAAATGGATTGTGAAACACTATTCTTAGATTGTTGTTTGACTTGGTTAAAGCTTCAAACACAACTATTTTGTGTTGGGATGTTGAGGGAACTTGTATGATGAATTTTCATTTTAAATTGAGTTTCAATAGGAGGAGGGAATCAGATTCATGTTCGAATCCTTCTAATTAGTTTGCGGATGCAAATGCAGATGCATATGATTTAAATTATCAAGGAGTTGAACTAATGAGTAATGAGTATTAGGTTTATGTCTTAAGGATGAACATCTTTAATTGGCGATTGAACTCATGACAACAACAATTTTTAAGATAACTAGCTAATTTCCTAAGTCTTGGCCCTTAAAATGTTGAACCCTTTGGACACGTCAGTCATTGTTCTGTAGCTAAGGTATACTCCTTGTTTTATGTTTCATATTAGTTCTTTTTGTGAAATTAGGTACCAATGGTTCAAGAGACATATAGTGTAGTTCTTGCTTGAAGAAGGAGGCTTAGGAATATGGTAGTATTAGATTCAAATGTGTTGCACACACTACAAGAAATATATTATATTGTGACAAAATTAATTTTGTCAAATGTTACTTTGTCACGGGTAATATAGGTATTATGACAAAATAAAAAAAAATCTCACATTAAGTATGACAAAGAGAATATACAGTAATTAAAAAAAAATATTATCATAATATTTTATCACAAAAAGAAACCTATGAAAAATATAATGAAGAAAAACATTTTTATCATAATATTTCGTCACAAATATTTGATGCCAAATTTTGGCACCTAGGTAAATTGTTTATTATGACAAACATATTTTATCATAAAATTATTTTGTCACAAAAGAATTTATTTATTATTACAAAAAAAAAAAATTGTGATAATATATGCTAAAATAACGGTATTAATGACAAAATGCTTGAGTCAAAATTTAAACGTCAAGATAAATTGTTTATCATCAAAAACATATTTGTCATCAAAAACTTTAGTCACTATATTTTAGTAATACTTACTATAATTACAAACTAATTTGTCACAAAAGAATTATTTATCATTATAAAAAAAAAAAAAAATCATTTATAAATGTTAAATTCGAGATATTAGTGACAAAATATTTGAGTCAAATTAAATTTGATATTTTGTGATAAAAATTTGCTAAAAAAACATAATTAGTATGTGTACAACTATTTGTCATTCCTCTCAAGTTTTTAGCAATAAAATATATGTCATTGAAAAAAAATAAATAAATAAACTCATTAATAATTTTAGCATATATGTAATTAAAAAAGGGGTGAGGGAGTTTACTTGAAAATTATTTAACACAAGAATAACTACTAAGAACAAGAATTAAGTAACAAAAATCGAATTAAAGACTATTTCGATTCAAGGAGAATTAGGATTCGATTGCAGTTTTTAGCTCTGAATTTGCACCAACATTTGGAGTCCCAAACGAATCAAAATTTGATGAACCAAACCTTTATGATAAGCTTGAGATGCCTAATTTAACTTTACAAAAGGCCTGAAACCCAAACTGAAACTCTATGTCAATAAAAAACCTGCAAACAGCCCAAAACATCCAAAAGTAAAAAATGCTGAAAATTTCTGGTTTTAAGCATAATTCACTAACACATTACCATAAATGCCCTACACATAAAAATCAATATAATTCAGCACCATAAGAAGTAAAACATGCTAGATAAGCTAGATGTAAGGATAATAAAAATATAAAATTATAATCCATCAATTGCACTTAATGATATTCATTACAATCAAATTGAAATAAAATACAAATTAGACAATCAAGTCCTATACAATCAAGTGTACAATATTAAAACTCACCATCATCATTATCATCGGCATCGATCTTCGTCATCTTTGCTTTCACCATCATCATCTTGTTCGTCATCAGCATCATCGCAATAGTCAAGGATAGTATCATCTCCTCCATCAATAAATAATAATTTGTTGTCGCAAAAAAACTTGGCCTCAGCGCTTCCCCTTTCACACCTCTAAAAAATAGGTAAAAGGCTAAGGATTAGTATATGTAAAGGATTAAGCCATTATAACTAGTAATCAATATATTGTGTACTTAAAAAAGAAATTAAAAGTATTCATTATTAATTGTATAAAATTATAATTATTCAATTGTATTAAATCAAAGTGCAACAATTTGGTTTTCAAAATTTTGTTAAAGATAAGGAGTGCATTTAGAAGTACTCATCTCTACACGGTGATCTTTTTTAGTAATATTATTTGGACTCTTTACAAGTTTTTCTAAACGTTGGCAATTAAAGTCGATACGTGGGCCTTTATTGGCCTGATGAAAACATCACGGAATTTCGATATTTTGTCTCTAACAACCATAAGTATTCCAGAATTCACCGACTCAAACGTTCAATCGACTGAAGAAAAAAACCCTAATTCAACAAAGTTAATAGCATCAACGGTTTCTGATTGTAAGATGAAACAGAGATAGGGAAGAAACAGCACGGCAAGGATCGAATGCTCATAACCAAAATGTATTGGGCCACCGAATGGGGCAGTGCCAAGTCTCTTAATCTATGTATTCGCACATAAGAACATGTGTTTGTGGTTGATTATTATTTTTTGATGCAGGCTTACGTTTACGCCATTCGAGGATCCTGTGTGTACAGCTGATGGCACCTTATTCGATATAATGTGAGAATTCTTATTTTCATAATTTTAGATTAATTTGAGTATTTTAGGTTTAAGAGATTATTTAGGTTTTAAGTTTGGGATTTTTGTGCACTTGCTGGACTATAGCTCCCAATATTAGAAAGTATGGGGAACATCCTGTTACCAGGAGCCCACCGAAGCTGAGCGATTTAATCCCAATTACTTTTCACAAGAATGCTGAAGGTTGGATTCTTTTACTCTATTTTAACTGTTTAGTTCAATTTTGCTGTGTAGGATTGTTCATTTGTTTTTTTTTTTTTTTTTCTTTTTTTCTAAAGCTTTAGCGATGCATGGTACTTGATGGCCTGAGTTTTGAGGAAATGGGTGACAATTTAGAAATGGTCTGATTCAAGTTAAATTTATGAGTGCGATTCAAGGATTTTAATAAAGTCTTAGTTTTGACATTGGGTGGGCTTTTTATAGGAATATGCTTTCTCTAATGAATGTGTTTTACCTGCAAATTTTTTAATGATTGTGGTATTGCTTATGTGTGGTTGTGTTTAAGAGTTTGGCTTGAAAATTGTGTAGGAACTTATACTAAACTAACTTGAGCTGTTCCATTTTCATCATTCTGTGGTGAGCAGGTTTTTTAGGATGACAAATAGATCAAATATCTTCTAAATGAGCGTAGTTTATAAACTGTTGTACATCTGTATGCGGGTTATGGAGTCGTGGTAGTGAAGATGATATAATGATAATCTTGAAGGACTAGAGAATGTGTTGACTTGTTTTTGAGGCAGGGCAGTTTGCTGGTGAAGTTAGAGCCTCTAGACTGTTATTATTCTTGGATGAGCCCTAATAGGCTTTCGATTTGCTAGGACTGCCAATCAAGTCTTAGTTCTCAAGTGACATTTTCTTTTCAGGAGGTAAAAAGAATATCAGCACTAGGGAATAGCTGTAGTTCTTGGAAAAATTCCACTGTAAGGCAAAGTGGTATGGTGAAGGAAGATAAAGTAAACTTTCCAAGTGTAGCTTTTGTTTGGTATGTGAATTCATGAATAATAGATGTATTGGTATTATCTGAATATAGTTTTAATTGAATGAACAGAGAGAAGAGATCTTCAACAACTTGCTTGTTGATGGGAATATGATGGACGCAGTATAGCAGATTTCTGATGTCACTATCTCTATAAGCTCATAGATTTTGCAATGGAAAGTTTTGCATTGCTACTTCTGCTTTCCCATTATTGTTATTCTTAATGTTGGTAAAATTGTGTGCATTCCTAAACAACCATGAAATACATGGGTATGATACTTGTATGATATCATAAATTCAATCCTATAGACCAAGTGTCTTTATCTTGTTTTTGAGTTCTATATTCCTCTCATTTACTACTATTGTATCTTAATAATATAAAACTTTTCACTTTCTTTGCAAGAGAGTATCATTGCCCCATGCTAAATAAAGTTTTCACTGAATTTACTCACACTGTTGCTACCAGGACTACAGGGAACGTGTTCTGTAATGACGTATGTGTTTTGGATTGTCATCACTTTTAGTGATATTACTTCAAGTTCATGTAGATAAATTCTTTATTTGTGAACTCTTGTCTTATAGGCAATCAAATAATTAAACATCAAGAAAGAGCTCCTAACTGATGAACCTTTCACTAAGGAAGACCTTATAACAATTGAGGTAATTAGTTGTTTTGAACATATGATGTTTAACTTTGTTGATTGCATGGTGGTGGTTTTAAGTGGCATGAGTTTTATGATTTACGAGGACTTTTTTTGGTGGTGTGCTTTGCAAGGTTACTCTTGATTTTGATCATGTTAAAATAGGTCTAAAACTTGATGATGAAGGTAAGCCATGCCATTTGCCACTCTTGTAATGTCAGTTTTAAAGTTTTCTTTTCTTTTTTTCCTTAATGATTGCAACATCTTGTTTTCCATTCTCTAGAATTAAAGAAAAATGGATTCAGATCCAACCTATAACATGAACATTGCTGGAGATATCAAGCAGATGTTAGTCAATTAAAATTCATCGGATGTAATTTTCTAGTTGGTTTATTGGCAACTCTTAATATTAATAAAATGTTGCTATGTACCTCTGTAGCAATTTTATGATCCAAGGTGGTGATCCTACTGGTACTAGAAAAGGAGGTGAATCTATATAGGGAAAGCCCTTGAAAGATGAAGTGAACTCCAAGTTGCTTCACTCTGGACAGTATGGCAAACAGTGGTCCACACACAAATGGTTCCCAGTTCTTCACTTTGTATAAATCTGCAAATAATTTAAACTTCAAACATACAGTTTTTGGATGAGATGTTGGTGGTTTGACTGCATTGGCAGCGATGGAGAAAGTTCCTGTTGATGACAATGATCGACCTCTAGTGAGTTCTTTGTTTAGTATTAATCTCTCCAAAACTACATATATTTTAAACCTGTATCTATTTTTGACTGCTTTATGTTTTACAATTAAATAGTATTCCCTAACTGATGATAGCTGTCATGCGTATTTAGCATATGATCTTTTTGGGAAGCAAGACCTCTTGTTAATATTAGTCTTTTATGCCTTTTGAATTTTGGTGAATGTCGTGGTAGGAATCAGTATATTATTTGGTAACATATGTTATTTGGAAGGCACTGTTTTAAAAACCGGACCGGACCAGGACCCGGTCACGTGTCCGATTCGAGTCACCATCAAACCAGTAATTACACACTAACTCGCTTTAAACCGTTTGAAAACCGGATATAATGAGTAAATCGGCGATCCAACCGGATCGGCGGAAAAACCGGTCGAATGTGAAAAAGCCCTAACTCTACGCAATCGCAATCGCAATCGCAAGCCCATGCATTCTGAAATTTGAATCTGATTTCATCTCTGTTTCTCATATTTCTCAACTTCTTCCCCTACACAAATTCCTCTTTGAAATCGCATTCAAATCGCAATCATTCACCAAATCGCAAGTTCTCAACTGAACTCTCTCAAATTGATGCTGACACGTTCCTCCCTCGTCGAAAATCGACGACGACAACAACTCCATTCCTTGCTAGAAATTAACGACGATGACGGCTACTCCATTCCTTGCTAGAAATCGACGGCAGCTCCATTCCTGGACGACGACAGCTCCGTTCCTCGCTGGAAATCGACGGCGATGGCGACAGCTACATTCGTCGACGACAGCTCCATTCCTCGACGATGCAGGTAATAAACACGCCATTTACATGTTCATCTTCAATAATGATCTCGTTTTTAATGCTTAAATGTGATTTTTTTGTTTGCAATATTTTTTACTGTTGACCGGCAACAACAATTGAACCAGTTACACGCCATTCACAGGTTCATCTCTAATAAGATTAGAATTTTGGAGAAACTCTAGTTCAACCATCTAGCAGGAGGAATGCTTGCTTGCTGAATTAAATGTTGATGAACTTTTCCTGTGTATTTGCGTTTTGCTAAAGGTAGTTTGTTTCCAAAGAACGTTGGTGCTCAATGAAATAGAATCCCTTATATTTACTTTTTCTGCGGAATTAAATGTTCATGAACTTTTTCTGCGTATTTGCATTTTGCTGAAGGTAGTTTGTTTCCAAAGAATGTTCATGCTCAATAAAATAGAATATCTTATATTTACTCTGCCATATCACCGGAACGCATGCATTTTTCTGCGTTTATTTTGCCAGTATTAAACTAAATTTGATCCAAATGAGGAGGCTATTTTTCCAGTATCATCGGAGTCATGATGACAGCTAGTATACATATATATGGAGGCTATTTTTTGAGTGAATTCTGAATTGGGGTTTATCAGTTTAAGATTTAAACATGGGGTTGTTAGTGGACGACCTAGTTATGCAGCGGAAAACAAAAACATAAATTACATGGATTGTTCCTTAGAACCAAGATCCGGGTACAAAAATCACAGTTTATACAAAAATAATCAAATCTGCAGAAAAATTAGTTCAAGGTTAACAAACATATGCACATTTGGAGGCTCCTCTAAGTTGTCTTTGAACGTATTTTGCTACCGACCCAAGTGTAAGATCGAACCGATGAAGTTCACACGAAGACGATTGCAAGGAACTAATGAGGGATTTGTTAGATCCTCCTTAGCCTTAACAACAAAGAAAATGATGAAATGTATTTGATTTTAGGCAAAACCAAAACTGGCGTGGGAGAGAGATCTGGGGCTGTGTTTTTCTTTCTTTTCAATAAAAATGTGATGAATGGAAAACTTAACCTTTTTCAACTAAAGTTTTTCTTTTATAATAATATTTTAATTGCCCTATTCCCATATGGAATAAGCTTGGGCTCCAACCCAAACATCTCATGTTATCAAACACTCCCAATTAGATATTTATTTTAATTCATCATTATCTTCAATTAAAATCAATTAATATATATATTAACATTTAACAATAATGATAATTTATTTAAATATATGCTAATACATATTTAAATGTAATTTCACTTATTTAATTTTTTCTAACAAATTGAATAAAAGGCTATAATCTCAACAAATTTAATAGTACTGTAAAATTATCTAAATACCATTTCGCCCAAAAAGATGAAAATGTCATCCTTTCTTTCTGAGTCTTAAATTATCTTCTATGTGTGACCCATAAACTCCTCATCATACTGGCAGTGTATAGTATCACGATTAACACTAATTAATCGTCTCACTAATACACAGACCAAGATTGGCCCCTAGCAAGGCATCATAGCCACTCGATAAATTTGGATTCAGCAAAGTAGCTACCTGTTAACGATATGGTTACCGTACAATTCGATCCTTTCATCATTCGTTATCTCGACAAGACGAAGGTATAGAAATAGTGTCAACCTTCGGTTACTCTCGATATTATGTATTCAATTTCTGGACCAATGACCTATATTATAATCCGGATAGAGCAATAACTCAATCCCACTGTGGCCACAGTTTTAGTGCCATTGCCATATACTGAATTGCATCGTGAGATAACTTCTCCTGTGCCTGGGAGTGATGAATCATCTGTCAATCCATCATAGTCTTGATACACTCTTTGATGCAGCCAATCACCAATGTATTGACAGCTCTAAATAGAACTGCGTTGGGCTAGTGTCAAACTGCACCAATAGGTGCACAAGGCGCTCTGGCGATCTCAAGTCTAAGGATCACATGAACCACCATTTGTTAGAGGATTTATTCCATAGACACTAGGGTTACCATCCATATGGAATCCTCTGGTGGGTCAGTCCAGTGAACTTGTTGCGGTATATCTGCCTACAGCAAGCACCCATGTGTTGCACCAGGTTGTCACCAAATAACCTTGACAAGTGAGATCAGTCATTGTCTTTCGACAGGGTCATTCAACACTATGATAGCCTTACCGTATTATCTATGCCCTTATTTTATAATAATACTAGGGCTATGGACGTTTCTAGAATGGCCACTATATGTGCTCATAGGGTTCTCACTATCAAGATTTGAAACACTCGATACCCTCGTCATGGTTCTACCATTCTAAGAACATATATCAATACATATTGCAATAATAATGATTTACGCAATATAGAATAAAATGTCTTTTATTGATTAATGAATATTATTACAAAGAGTCAATTCTACAATAATTGATGGGCTCTAGGGCATATACTCTAACAATCTCCCATTTGCACTATAGTCAATCATTCATGTATTTAATACCAAATGATCTCAAGTGCCTTTCATGCTTCTGCTACGGCAGAGGCTTTGTCAGTGGATCTGCGAGATTGTCGTCAGTATGCACTTTACTAATCTACACGTCTTTCCTCTCAACTATCTCTCTGATGAGATGTAATCTTCTTAGTATGTGTCTGTATTTTTGATGAGACCGTGGTTCTCTGGCTTGAGCAATTGCTCCATTGTTGTCACAATAGATGTCTATAGATCAACAATTGTGAGAACCAAACCAAGTTCAGTAATGAACTTCTTAATCTAGACTGCCTTCTTGGCCGCATCTAACAATGCAATATACTCATCCTCCATTGTAGAATCTGCTACAGTGCTTTGCTTGGAGCTCTTCTAGCTCACTGTACCCCCATTGAGACAAAATACAAACCCTGATTGCGATCGATAATCATCTTTGTCCGTTTGGGAACTAGCATCACTGCATCCTCTTATAGTTAGCTTATCTTTCCCTCCATAAACCAAGAACATATCCTTAGTCCTCTTCAAATACTTAAGAATATTCTTGATAGCCATCCAGTGACGCTCACCTGGATCCGATTGATATCTACTACAAGTGCTCAAAGCACATGAGACATCAATCCGAGTACATAGCATGGCATACATGATGGATCCAATTGCTGATGCATATAGGATCCTCTTCATCCTATCTCTCTCATCTTGTGTTTTAGGACATAATTCCTTAGAGAGATAAACACCATGTGACATCGGAAGAAATCCATTCTTGGATTCTTCCATACTGAATCTTTTCAGTACCTTGTCAATATACGCACTCTGACTTAGGCCAAGCAACATACGTGATCTATCACGATCGATCTTTATTCCAAGGATGTAGGCTGCTTCCCCTAAGTCCTTCATGGAGAAGCACTTGGATAACCAAGTCTTTACCAACTGCAAGTTCGGTATATCATTCCCGATCAGAAGTATGTCATCAACATACAACACTAGGAATGCTACTGCTCTCCCACTCACTTTCTTGTTAACACAGAGCTCATCTTCATTCTTGATAAAACCGAATTCTTTTACGGTTTCATCAAAACGAATGTTCCACCTCCTTGAAGCTTGCTTGAGTCCATAAATGGATCTCTGAAACTTGCATACCTTATTAGCTTGACTATCAAGAACGAAACCATCAGGTTGTGTCATATATACATTCTCCTTAAGGTTTCCGTTCAGGAAAGTAGTTTTGTCATCCATTTGCCAAATCTCATAGTCATGATATGCAGCAATTGCAAGCATAATCCAGATGGATTTAATCATGGCAACCGGTGAAAAGATTTCTTCATAGTCAATGCCATGAATTTGTTTGAAACCTTTGGCAACCAACTGTGTTTTATGAGTATGCACGTTGCCATCCATGTCATTCTTCTTCTTGAGGACCCATTTACACCCTATGGGTTTTACCCCTTCAGGTGGTTCCACCAGAGACCACACTTAGTTCTGGTACATGGAATCCATCTCAGATTTTATGGCTTCTAGCCATTTAATGGAATCTAGATAGATATAGCGTCTTCGTAGGTTCTAGGTTCATCGTCTTGGTAGACCAGTGCGTCACCATGTTGAGTCACGAGATAACCGTATCTCTCGGGCTCATGGCATACTCTCCCAGATCTACGTAGCTCCTGTGCTACCTGAGGTGGTTCACTTTAATCCACAAGTTGTGGAGTAACCTCCTCATGATGTTCAACCACTTCTTGTGGCACATCATTCCGTCCTTCGTCTAATATATCTTATGGTTCTAGAACTTCATCGAGCTCTACTTTTCTCCCACTAGTAATTCTTAGAAAATATTCCTTTTCTAGGAAGACAGCAGATCAAGCAACAAAAATTTTATGCTCTTCTGGGTGGTAGAAATAGTATCCTTTGGATACCTCACAAATATACATTTCAAGATTTTAGGCACAGCTTGTTCGAAGTCAATTTCTTAACATAAGCTTCACAACCCCAAATCTTTAGATAAGACAAGTTGGGCTTTCGCCCACTTCATAGCTCATATGGATTCTTATCTACAGACTTTGACGGCACACGGTTCAAAACGTGAGTTGCAGTCTCTAGGGCATAACCCCAGAACGATGCAGGTAAATCACTAAAACTCATCATGGACCTAACCATGTCAATTAAGGTTTTTTTTCTCCTTTCTGACACTCCATTGTGTTGGGGTGTATAAGGAGGGGTGAGTTGTGATACTATCCCACATTCCTTCAGGTACTCTGAAAACCCTAAGCTTAAGTATTCACCTCCTCGATCCGACCAAAGAGCTTTAAAACTTTTGCCCAACATATTCTGTACTTCACTCTTGAATTCCTTGAATGTATCAAAGGCTTCAGATTTATGTCTCATAAGGTAGACATAACCATATCTACTGAAATTATCAATAAATGTGATGAAGTATGAATATCTACCTCTAGCATCAACTGTTAGTGGACCACATACATCACTATGGATGATGCCTAACAGCTCAGTAGCCCTTTCATCTTGTCCTGTGAAAGGAGACTTGGTCATCTTGCCTAACAGGCATGACTCACATACCTCAAATGATTGAAAGTCAAAAGGGTCCAAAACTCCATCCCTTTAAAGTTTTGCAATGCAAGTCTTATTAACATGACACAATCTACAGTGCCAGAGATATGTCTGGTTTTGATCGCTATGTTTAGCTTTTTTGGTTTCAATATTGAGAATATCTTTATTGTTTAAATCAAGAACATATAATCCATTATATAACCTTGCAATTCCAAATAGAATACCATTCAAACTAAAGGACAACAATCCATTAGATATTTCAAAATGATACCCTATATTATCCAAAGCAGATACTGAAATAATATTTCTAAAAATAGAAGATACGTGATAACAGTTATGTAGC